AGATAGACTTGAAAGGATTCTGACGATGGTGTATACCGTACTTCTTTTGGCTTGTTTTGGACTTCATCCATCGTCTGGTATGTAAAAGACAAAAGACCACGACGTTTCGGAGACTGGATCTGTCTCCGTCTCCAGTCCGGTGATTGAGACTAGCTCTTTCTAACGCGCTCAACTGAGTAGGTTTATCCTTCCCTACCCACCTGAAGACGGAGACAGATCCAGTCTCCGAAACGTTGTGGTCTTTTGTCTTTTACATACCAGACGATGGATGAAGTCCAAAACAAGCCAAAAGAAGTACGGTATACACCATCGTCAGAATCCTTTCAAGTCTATCTTTGCATTTTGTCTCACAGGTAAAATGTTCTCCGTCTGTACTACATTCCCATCTCACCTCAAACCAGCTCAGCAACATGAGAGGACGATCGCAAGTTACGGAGCTATTTGTTAAGTAATTTCCTCGGGACGAAATGTTATCGAATGTTGACCAATAGCTGAAACTAACTCCATGGAGCTGAACAATTCTTGAGAACCTGCCAGTTGTGCACCTGTCCAAGAATTCCCAAAATTTTATGAAACCCGAAGATTCATTATCGCGTTCACAATAGCTGTCCACTGGTCCCTATCCTGAGTCAGAACAATCCAATCCACGCCACCCCATCTAATGTTTTCTTTTTAGTTTCATGGGGGTTGAGACTGAGTCCACTTCGTACGTCGGCCACCATCTGGCCTATTGTCCAGCCCCGAATGATAGATGATGATTGTGGAGCAGTCGGTGGAATGAGAATTGGCCGGAGAAATGGAAGTACTCGGAAAAAACCTTCCCCCGTGCCACTTTGTCCACCACAAATACCACAAACCTGACCTGGGCTCGAACCCCAGCCGCCGCAGTGGGAAAACGGCGACTAACCGCCTTAGCTATGGTACGGCTTACCCAATCATATCCCTCTAAAATTCATCTTAATATTATCCTCCCACCTACGTCTAGGCCTTCATAGTGCATTTTTTCTTTCAGGCTTTACCACCAAAATCCTATACGCATTCCTCTTCTCCTCCATTCGTGGTACATACCCTGCCGACCTCATCCTCCTTGACTTGACCATTCTAATTATACTTGGAGAAGAGTACAATTTATGAAGCTCCTCATTATGCAGTTTTCTCCAACCTCCCGTCAATTCATCTCTCTTCGGTCCAAATATTCTCCTCGAGAACACCCTGTCTACGTTCCTCCCTTAATGTCAGAGACCAAGTTTCACACCCATACAGAACCACAGGCAAAATTATAGTTTTGTATATTCTAACTTTTATGCTCTTAGATAGCAGATAAGAAGACAAAAGGTTCTGGACTGAATGGTAGCAAGCATCACCCAAATTCAGTCTCCTCTTAATTTCCTCCTGAATCAGATTTTGATTTGTTACTGTCGTCCCCAAATATTTCAACTGTGAACAGCTGAATCTGCGTCAAGTAAACAGAACTGTGTTTTGTGGCGTGAAGTTCCGGAGAATTGTGACCCAGCAGCATGCAAACACACGAGGCTCGAAACGTGCTTAGATACAAGGACGTGTTTACATCCGTGGCTTCCCGAGGCCATATACTGCATGTAATGGGAAATAAACCCCTTATATAACATACAGAGCCCATGTGTATCTCCTTATTATTAAGTTTACGCGTTTGCTCAGATAATTAACGGCCTATCTATCTATCTATCTATCTATCTATCTATCTATCTATCTATCTATCTATCTATCTATCAACTGCGACTTTAATTTCGTCTACAACTGGAAATGCATCACAGCATATGGAAAAACGATATGAAAGCCTTCCAAACCTACTGGCTACATAACAGCATTCTGGGTAAAATTTCAAATGGACGCATCATACTAAACAACATTTAAACACCAACGTGTAATTAAAAAAAATAAATAAATAAAATACATAAGCCTCGATATATATAAGTACTATTATATTTAATATAAGCTATTGTTAATTGTTATTGTCATTATTGTTATTGCTAATAAAATCATTACCACAAACATCTGTCTGTCTGTCTTTCTATCTATCTGTCTATCTATCTCTCTATCCATCTGTCAATGGCTTTACGGCCCTTTGTTGGACCTTGACCGCTTTTTCAGTTTCTTTATCTTTTACACAGTCGGTAAGATTCCTTGGATGGGGGATCAGCCCGTCGCAAGGCCGATACCTGCACGGAGGGACGCACAGACAGGATAAGCACACACAGACATCCATGCCTCGAGTGGGATGCGAACCCACGATCCCAGCGTCCGAGCGAGCGAAGACAGTTCATGCCTTAGGCCGCGTGGCCTCTGTGATGGGCAATTAACGGCCGACTGAAAGAAAATATATGCCAAAACTTGACGCCCACTGTGTAAAATTTGGAGAATATACTTTTTGTAATGGGAAATATTTATACATCTCCACATGTTCTACAATTGTGTTCTTCTGTATCCACCGTACCCGTTTGATCTTGCTTCTGGACACCAGACGCAACACATTCCACGGAGACAATAGCTATCTTACTTGAAGCTCTATAGAAGTTGTAAACCCATGGAACAGTGTCCTTCTTGACGAGAAAGAATATTCCGTTAGTCAAGAAATTCCTTGCCTTTTATACAACTAGCAGGCTCATTACCATGTTTGCGAATGTACCCAATCCTGAGTAGATAAATCAAGTCCACAGTCTCAGTGTGTATAAAGATCAGTTATATTCTCCCACTTTGTTACTGTAATCTCAGTCAGCCTCGCTAGGTAAAGCTACCCCTGTAACAGGCCGTGGAGGCTGTCAGCCTTACGCGTCTGCCGCCCCTTATCCTCCAGAAAGATTCCTGGACTCATTTCTGTTGAATGAATGATTGTATGAGGGGTGGACTTTCTCGGCCCTTGCACCGCGACTTACAGTGATTTATTGTGCTTCTCCTTTTGATTATCCCCTCAGCAATTTTATACGTGGGGGCGTCGAAATAGTCACTTGGTTCCATAAAGTACTGACCCAAGTGACGTAATCTTAAATAAGCTAAGGGCCTCACTTTCGCACAGGATATGTGTGGCTGTTTCATTTTCTTCTTTTGACACCTCTCACAAGTGGTACTATCACTTTGTCCCAGTTTGAAGAGGTGTCATTTGAGATGACAGTGTCCTGTAAGTAGTCCCACCACCCATCATAGCTAGTTCCTGTTTAACTTCAACAGTTCCTCCGCTCTTTCAGCAGAGGGTCCTCGTATGAGTCCCTTTGCTTGCCTGAATCCAATCAAGGGTCCCCAGTATTTCTTGTGCTACTCATTTCTGTTAGTGACTGAGTCGACCCCAGGGCCAAAGTGCTGCTGCAAGGATTAGGTCAATCGAAAGATCTAATAACTTCATCGGGAATCGAACCCGCGACCTTCCGCTTTGTAGCATAGTGTCTCAATCAACTACGCTGCCGCGTGCACCCTCACGACAGTTGTGCTGGATAAATTCTATGCTTGAGCCACACATGAAGGCATTATACAGGTCTCCCAGGAGGAAAGATCAGTATTGTTGGAGGTCATAATATTGGTCTTTCTAAGAAAAAAAATGTATATGTATACGTGTCCTGTTCCGAACAGTTTCCGATGTAGAGCTACACGTATTTCACTGTACAGACGAACAACACGCCATGTCCTCACACGAGTTGGGAAGTGTGGAATTTTCGTAAATGTTAACTGTACCAATTTTGTGACTTGAACAATAAATACCGACATTAGAAACAGCACGTAATATCTCTTTCTTAATAACAGTCTTGGAATGGTGCAGTGAAATAGCCCTGTCTCGGAAACCATTCGGAATAGGATACATGTACATAAACAGTTTTTTTTTTGCTTAGATTTACCGATACTGTGATCTCCAAGAACACTGACTTTCCTCTTGCGACATTCTGCATAGTTACACATGTATGACAGATGTATGCGGTCCTATTTTAGAAACTATAACTATCTACGTTTGTAGGATTTGAGGCTATGCCGCTCCTGCTCTTCCATCCCTCTTAGGTCACAATATTCTCCTGAGCACCCTGTTCTCAAATATCATGTTTAATGTTTTTCACTTAAAAGGAGAGATTATTTTACAAAACGCAAGGAAAATTATATTTTTCTCTGTTTAGTCCTTACGTTACTAGGCAGAAGTTGGGAAAGACGAATGATTCTGAACTGAATGTGTACTATGCCTAAAACATCTCTGAGATTGCGTCACTAAAGAGACAGTCACGTAAATGTTTACATCGTCATAAGAGAGTTACTAGTTTCTGTTTTCAAAATATGATGGTAACCAGAATGACCACATCGGAGATCTCACTGGACGTATAGGCCTCTTCTCCTCTCATGACGCACACTCAGAGATGTTTTGGACGCACGATAGCAAGAACTCCGCAAACTCAATTTGCTCTTAATTTCACTCATCTGCGTTTATGACGTTTTGTTGCAGATTTTCCGCCATGGGGACAGAACACCGACAGAGACCTATCCTACGGACCCTTACAGAGATGGCAGCGCGTGGCCCGAGGGATGGGGTGCCCTTACCAAGGTATTCAGTCGTTTACGAAATTTGGTGCAGAACTACTGAAAATCTTGTGTTTTTATACATATCGAGTATTGATAAAGGCGGCGAAGAAGAATAAGAAGAAAAGTAGGTGAAAAAATAACTCGCGGATGACAGTGGCCGCGCAGTCTAAGGCAGAACCGTCCTCGAATGTTAAAATCGTGGGTTCGAATCCCACTCAAGGCATGGATGTCTGTGTGTGCGTTTATTCTGTGTTTACGTAGCGGCCTTGCGAGGGACTGATCCCCGCCTAAGGAGTCCTACCGACGGTGTATAGGATTAAGAAACTACATAAAAAACGGCCAAGGTCCAACAAAGGGCTGTAGAGCCATAGATGGATGGATGAATTGATGGAAATCATGGGAGAAGCGAGGGATATCTTATTGTGTGTGACTGGGTTAAGAAAAACCCTTGTACGTTAATCATTTGACCATTCGACGCTATGTATTCAGAGGTATTAACAGCATCGTTAAATAAGCAATGAGAGACAGGGAGAGGTATAATGTATAACAGAAGTGTAATGAAAGGGAGAAGCCATGGGAGAGATGGAACACAATTACGGAGGACTGAGGATAATATTGCTAGAAGACTCCCAAATTTCGTCTGATCGTGTTTCAGATAAGTGTAGTATGAAAGTGAAGTCGTTAGGATTATTAGAAGTAGTGGCTTGCGAAAGAAGTCGCTGGATTTTGAGTGTCTGAATTGATGGTGAACTGCATAATTTGGAAATATAATTTGATGGACTTTACAACAAAAATTTTAATTATGATAAATTAAAATCTCGAGGGCTGCACGAGAAGCACAAAATAGCAACATGGAGCTTAGGGGCCTTCTCAGCATTTGCTTCTAGACAGTGATAAATCAAGGAAACTTGTGTCTTTAGATACAATGAACATGAGAACGGAGAATATAACGGCGAACGCATAACGTGGTGCTTGCAATGTATCTCTTTCATTACCGTCTCTACGTAATTACCGTATAACGCAATTAATCCTCTCTTATAACCATGTTACAAAGCCTCATAAGCAAAAGGAAGTTCGTCAAGTAGGAGCTGCGTCATTTCCTGCACAATTTAATTCTCGAAACCACAGCTTGCATGTCCTATAACCCTTTGCAGTATGGCAGAACAGTGACGACAATGGGCAGTCATGTGAAAGCAGTTAACAACATCCATTCTGTAAGCGAGGCAATCACTTCTTTAAAACTTTCTGCGTTGTTTGTTGGAAATTACATTCTATAAAATATACAGTTTCTTGAAGAAGACGTTGAGAGGAGGACTGGGTATATTTTTCTAATAATTTCTTTACGTCCTAACATTGTTGCAATCATAGGTGCCGCTATGCTATTTTTCCAAAAGAGGGAGCAGCCAGAACATTTGAGTACAAAATTAAGTTCAAGCCGCTTAAAATTATTTTGAACATATCGCTCTAGATTCAAGATGAAAGGACGTAAAACAATAAGTTATGAGAAGAACAAATCGTCTACTTTCCTGTATACGACGCGGACAACCTAAAAGACGATGGGTCCAAGAATTATTCTATTTTTGCGTGTGTATTCGTTGCAGCGGTGACGGTTTTTACCGAGCCATTGCCTAGCAACAACAGGTATATACATATAGACACAGAAAGTGATGGGAGGGATTTATGAAGTGAGCCGTTGAGACGTGCTGACGTGCCGTGATATACGTACCGAGTTTCTATTGGTTCAGCCATTCAAAGTTGATAGGGGGCATACACGGACACACAGACAGCATGGTGATCGCATAAGCCTACTTTCATTTGTTCAAAATAAGGAAAACAGAGTAAAATCAATTATAATGTCACGTGTTGGGTATGTCACGCGACAAATAACTTCACACACATTTATTCTTACACACTCAAATACAATTAGTATCACTTCAACTGCATTCTGCGGCGGCCATCTTCCATCTGTCTCTGCCCGTGGCTGGATCTCAACTGTCGTTCGTACGTCCAAGTCCAAGTCCAAATCACATTGCGACTGACGGTCAGTCAGTCTGTCTGTCTTGGTGTCGAGCCCCGGTTGGGGCTCATGACCAGATCCCCCCCCATCATATGATAGTTACTGTCCTGTCCATTTGGGGCGCCCTCTCTGACGAGAGGTCGTGTCTGCCATTTGTCAGTCATAGTCCATATTAGTAAGTCCATTGTCAGTATTTACATATATTTACAAATTTAATCTTAATTCCTATTTCTGTGTACAATATATACAAGGCCTCTGTCAGTCCAGGCTCAGTACAGCAGATTTTGCCCTATTTCTAGTAGTATTCGCTACAACGGCAGTCTAGTCACTAGAACGGTCGTATGCCTGACCGCCGCCAAGTTTAAGCCTCTTCTACTTTGTGTGTCGGGCTTCGCCTTGTCCGATGTTGCGAACATTCTCATTTTCATGATTTTGTATGACTTCTGCTTGTTTCCTGCATAATTTTGTTACAAAGTCACATACGTACGGGATTCTGAATGCCATGTGCAATCGTGGACCGGTGTGCGCCTTGGAAAATTGCCAGTGGTGCGGAGAACCTTGTTTTGCAGGCGCTGCAATTTCACTAGATGAGTGTCTGCCGCGAACTCCCAGGCGGGACTAGCATAAGTCATTACGGATCTCATGAGAGCTTTTTGGAGGGTCATTTTAATGTTAGCGCTCAATCTCTCACTTTTGAATAGGGAATATACTCTAATGAATGTTCTGAAGGCCTTGGCTTCGATCATTTCTATGTGCGATCTCCATGTAACCCTCTTATCGAATATTACACCTAGATATTTTGCACTATTTACAAATGGAATATTTCGTCCATTAAGAGTAAGACAAGACTCAGGCGGTCGACACCCACGAGAAAAGTAGACCCCCTGAGTCTTATCTTCATTAATTTTTATATTCCAGCGCTCACACCAGGTCTCCATTGAGCTGAGACCGCGCTGGAGTTTTCTAACAATAAAACCCTCCTTGGGATCTATCGCATACAGACAGGTGAACACCATGTGTTTGGGCGGCATCATTTATGTACAAATTGGAAAGAGTAGGGGAAAGGACAGAACCTTGTGGCACCCCTGCCTGCATTTCCCTTGACGTTGACATTTCGTCTTCAACCGAAATCCTGAATTTACGTTGAGAAAGAAAGGACCCAATAAGCTTGGTCAAACTGTTCGATAATTCCAATTTTGATAACTTATACAGCAAGCCTGAGTGCCACGTGGTATCAAAGGCCTTTCGAAGTCCAAGAACACCGCAGCCGTAGACATTTTATTGTTGAAATTGAGGGTCACGTGGTCCGCCAGCCTCATACATTGCGATGTCGTGCTGTGACGTGCACGAAAACCAAACTGGCTTGCGTTGAGCAGGCCTCTTTCTACAATACGTTTTTGGAGGAAATTCAAAATTGATTTTTCGAATAGTTTTCCTGTTGTGGACAGGAGGCTGATCGGACGTAGATTTTGCGGGAATTTCGGGTCTCTACCGGGTTTAGGTAAAGTTATTACCTTTGCTTCCTTCCAAGTATTTGGAAAATGAGAGAGCCGAAGACAATGATTAAATAAATGAGTTAGGTGAACCAATAGTCGCCTTGGAAGTTGCCTCAGCCATTCATTTGGGATGCCGTCAATTCCACAGGCCTTTCTCAATTTCAAGGAATTTATCAATTTTTGTACGTCACATGGTCTGATCCTTTGAGGGGGTTTGTCGTCTACGGTTTCCAGCAGAGCTTGAACTCTAGCCTCCACCCGCCGTTCATGGTTATCGCCGCGCAGATCATGCGGCGCGGACTGAATTTCCAAACAATCAGCAATTGCGTTGGCTTTTGCGAATGAGTGAAATTTAAGGCCTGCAGCACCATGAATAGCAGTTGGTGCCCTTGGTCCATCCATCTTTAGGAGGGATTTCGCAATTGGCCATATACCATGAGGTGTGACTTCAGCGTTACCAATTTTTGTTTCCCACCGTTCAAGTGCCTTTTTTCGGGCCATTCGCCTGATTGATTTTGTGACCCAATTTAGTGCCGTCTTACACGCTGGATCCCTGGTTTCTTGCCACAATTTTCGTAGCTTATGTTTTAACAGGCGATCTAGACCGGGAAGATCGTTGTTTATGTCCGAAAGTGTAACTTTTCTTGTGGACAACCTATATGCCGAAGCAATAGAGGCTGCAAAGTCGCGCCCCGCTTTATCGGCTTCTACCCCTGACTTAATTTCTATTTTAGGTAATATTAAATCAGAGGCGAGTCTTTGAAACCACTCCCAATCTGTGAATTTTTCAAAAGGTTCCGAAAGGTTCCTAATTTTAACATGATCCAGTATGTGGAATACTCTTGGTAGGTGATCTGAATCCAAAATATCAGAGACGATGACATCTGACATTCTGATATTTTTGTGGACCACAATATCCAGCACGTCACCATTTCTCGTAGGGGAATAATGAGTCAGTCAGAGTCAGAGTCAGAGTTACTTTATCACTCCTACGGTTCCGTTCCCGCTGTTCCGACAGTCCGTTGTTACGCAACGAGCCTTCTGTTGTTCATCTCCGGGGAAACGCGTTCGTCGTTTCGGCATTCTCTGTGTACGCAACGGCTCACTGTTATTGCGTTTCCATGGAAGTGCCTACTCCAAACACGTTACATTAATTTAATTTTTGGTAAAGTGAGATAAAGTTGCCCCTGTGTTTAACCAATTAAGTACTACGCCCTGAAGGCGTATGGAAGCATAGCTGTATAGATCCACTAATTCTTGACCTCGGCACTAGTTGGAAATGAGTGGTCAGCTTCAAGCCCTCGCCGCTTTATCCCCAGAGAAAGAGCCCTCGGTACCCATTTGATAAAAGTTTGTTTGGGCCCCAGAACCGATCTTGACGACGAGGAGAAGAGAAAACTATCGTCTCTACCAGGACTTGAACTCCAACCCCTCTGCCGTCCAGCTCATAGCCTGTCGCTATACTGACTGCGCTCTCCCGGCTCCCCTTATAGCTAGGTCTCTATTAAC